GTGGTCCTAGGACACTACATTGGACAATCCCACTTGTGATCGGCCTAGAATGAGAAAATACAGATCCGACTTTGGTTATTTGTACCCTGTTGCTTAGAAAGGATTTTAACCAGTTCAGTAATGGATTGCGAATTCCCCATGAATACAGCTTTTCAAAGAGAATACTGTGAGATACCATGTCAAATACCCTAGATATATCAAAGTGGAGAACAAGACTAGCTTACTCGCTTCGCGACTACTAGTGATGCAGTTGAAAAAGTCGAATTGGCAAGTAACGCAGGACCTATTTTCGAGAAATCCATGTTGAGACCTTGTGACAAGATCTCCTCTAAGTAGATAGTCTGACAATTGATCTTTGACAACTTCCTCCATGATTCACGAGACAACTGGGGCTATACTTATAGGTCACCAGATTTGTAGTGCTGAATTATAAAGCTAGTTTTCCACTTATTAGGGTAAGTGTTGCTGTCCACAGATATTGAAAGGAATTCAAGAAGCAATTGAAGAATATCACACCTACTGTTTTTGAAGATTATTGAAGCAAGGACATCCGGTCCAGTGCTAATAGAAGGTCTAAGGCTTTTAGCTGCTTGCTCTACTAATTGGTTGGTGATCACTATGTTCCTGAGGGGTGCATTGTAAGGTCTACCCATCAGTTTGATATTCGGGATACCGGTATGCGTTTTGGTGTTGTTTTTACAACCGGAAGACTACTGTGGGGAAGGTGCTTCGGTCGGAGGACTTTGGGGGGTTTGGGGGCCTAAGTTTCTATAAGGCGGAGTGTGCTGAAAACCACCACCAATAATAATAATTTGTGGTGATATTAGGCGGTTGGAGGCAATCGCCAGGAAGCCTTGGACCTAGGTTTCGTGCTAGTTGGCACTCGTCAGCAAGGCGTATCTGCAACTTCGAAGGATATGATGTCCCTTCTGAGATTCGAACCCGCGTCACCCAGTGCTGCAGTCAGAGACGTTACTACTGAGCTATTCGGGCTCGCGATTGACCTTCTGTAGGACTGTGGTGGATATTTTGATTTGACACTAGTAACTAGTGTAATGCGTCTAGTTCTCTCTTTGGTGGTGGCCACATTACAACCTGACTGATAGAATTCAGTCTGCAGCGAAGATAGGACTAGACGCATCACACTAGTTACTAGTGTCAAATAAAAATAAAAATTTGCTTTATTCCAGAAACAGTACTAGTGGTACAGTGTGGAATTTTCAGCACATATCTACAATATTTGCATCTAATTTTACAAACATTTAAAAGGAGTATTTAAAAAATAAATCTAAAGACACCAACAGCAAAGAAACAGGAAAAACACAAAAATAGTCATAAATGTGAAAAAAACCAAGAAGTGTAAAGGAAAATAAATAGCATAGAATAATAACTCAGTATCGGGTAGTGGAAGCAATCATATGATTATGCATGGTGACAGTAACGTTATAGTCATACAAGAATTTATGAAATGATATTTAAGAATGTTTATCGCCAAGATGGTCAGTTAATTTGGTTGAAACAACTCTAAACAGTCATAAAATAACATTTCAGCGTTGTTGTTTTGTTTTTTATTGTCAGGTCTAATGCAGTGTTTGTAGTGGTAGTGTGAGTAATCCTGAATAATACAAAATTTTTAAGGTGGTGACAATGGCATTCATAACCAATGATTGTCAGTTTAATATTGCCGGAAAGTATAGAAAATAAGAAAAAACAACCACAAAATGTAATAATTACATGATGGTTAATGACAGGACAATTTTGAAATACTCATAGTGCTGATAGAGTCGGAACCAGTGGATACACAATAGAAGGAAGCCAATGTTAATAATTTAGGTAGCTAAGTATCTTTGCGAAGGAGTTCAGTATAGAATACAAAATAAGAGAGAAATAGAAGAGCCTAAAATTATGTTATTAACAACAAAGCAAGTCATAGGTTTCGCGCTTAACATTGTCTCTGTCGCTTAGAACACGGGTCAAGTATGGTATCGTTGAGCTCCTGTACTTGGTTGTACGAGCATAGATTATTTTATACTGATTTCTGGTTTTACTTGATGAGATACAAGGCGGCAGTTGGGAATAGAGGGGGTGTTGGGGGTCTGAGAGTATGGTTTTGACCATTTTTCGCATGTATTCAGATGCCTATCAACTAAAGTAGTGACGAGCTGACTGAGTTTTACACCACTAGTCCTACTGACTACCTTCAACATCCTTCTCTGGATGGTGTAGTCCTTTTTCAGTAGACCAGGAAAGACTAACGGGGAGCAGTAAAGTAGAATAGAATTTCTTATTTGGCGGCCTGTTTGACACCTGGGCTACCTTTCTGTACATCTACATATTTGCATCTAATACATCATTTTTAACAAATATACTTGTGTTTTGAGAGGATTTTTTCGTAACAAGTGAGGTTTTGTTGACACTCTTACTCTCAGCAGGCTAACTGAATACGAAGTATTCCTCCCCATCATTAGATTCAATCCTGCGAAATTTGTTCATTGTGATGAGGTCACTACGTTTAGGTGAAAATTTCTTAGAACAACTTGCAGCAGTTCTAGCTGTTTCAACACCTTTATTTGCAGGGATAATGATATTTTAATCAGTTCCTAGTTCCATTGACAGGCGTGGCTGTTGTGTAGTTTGCTGGATGCCACTGTCACTTTTAGGTGACTGTTATGGAATATTATCCACTTTTGGTAAATTTTAGCCAGAGGAGGTGACAAGATTATTGCTATGCATTATTCTACGCTGACACGGTGTTTTATCCTGAGCTGTGGTTACGGGCTTATAACTGCTATTTAGTCTTAAGGGATCCTGAAGTTTATTAAAGTTACTAGCATCAAGAGAATTACTAATTGATGGGACAATTAGGCTGGGTCGACTTTCTACTAAGTCTTTTGCATTTATATGACACACTAGCCATGCTACAAGAATCCAAGGTTTTGTTTTTATGGTCTTCATAGGCATTTAGTCCGGGATTTTGTGAACTGTAGCCTGATGGGAAGGGGCTATATGCTTCATCACCTCCGCAGTCGAGTAATCAATCACATTTTCAGCTTTGTTTAGGTCGTTCAGATAAATTTTAGTTGCCGCAGTAAACCCTAACTTACAGAAACTTCGAGGTGACCTCTTCTATGAGTGGTACAGAATAATGGACTGAACGAGCGGCAACTCCTGTTGCTGTGACAGCCAGATGAGAGCCTCGCCGCAACAGTGACTAAAAAGGTGGCGTTTCAAGAATATTTGTTTTGTTGCTGAAAAATAGGATGCAGTTTTCTAGAGAGCAAATAGCAAGTAGAAAAATCGATGTCAACCTGTTCTGATGAAAATCACCAACTCGTAAAATGTGCACTGATTCGAAAATCTTTTTCTTCCCAGATCGCCTGAGTGTTATCATAAACCAACACACCAGAGTTTTCTGGGCCATGTTACCCTATCGCCAATTCATATATTTACATCCAGCACCGAAATTAATGATTCTAGCAGAAATTAGGGTGTCATTCTGAGCTGGAGACGAAAATTCTGAAATAAAGCTGATATTCGGAAATTGCAGAAGAGCGCCACCTCCTCTGTCGTTAGACAGTATTAAATCCTCTGTATGCGAAAGTGAACAGATATAAGAACCTCTGGGATAAGTCTATATGGTTCTGCTATAATTGTTGCCATTGGTGAATTCGGTGCAGCTTTTACCAACTATGCATGCAGAAATCTGTAGAGATTCTCCGGGCGGAACCGTTAAAAGCCGCCTGGAATGCCGACCTATGAGCGAATATTAAGGACGAGTAGCCGTCAAGGTAAGGTTACCAACTAACATAAAATGAGTTGGAGCAGCGACCACGCAGTAGGTTTGTTTCACTTGATCATTTGATCAGAAAACATTTAGCTGGAGATAACTCAATTTCTCTTCTTATCTTTCAGTCTCAGCACCTGAAGAACGTAGGAAAATAACGGTAAAGGATGGACGTCAGTAATAATTCCAGTATGTTCAGCAAGAGAGCCTCAAAATGAACGACTAAGTGGCGGGAAAAGCGTACAGAGCATGAAAGGGTCAGCTACATAAGGTAGACTTCAAGGAGAGAAACAAACTACAGTACTTACATATCTTCCAAGGACTGGCACACTGTAAAAACTGGAGAGAAAAAATTAGAGTAAAAGTGACCACTTTTGCGTATGACTTGATATAAAACTGCTGCTCAGTCCTAGTGGATACCTTCTAACTGACGACTGATGGAAAATATATCGATGATTAAAAGTGTGTTGTTTAAAATTCCTACTGCTGAACCCCTGAAAACTTTGGAAATGACCAGGGCTTTTAGTGCACTTATTCATAGAGAACGTACAAGCAATACGCTCCTATCTAGGCACCCTACTGCTAAGTATTGCATCTCACGGGTCATCCCAATCCAAATCAGCGGAAATGTGATATAGCGAAACTCCATCCAGCGAAGTTTCAGCAATCTCAGAATGTGACCGAAAATTTGGTGGAAAGTCAGATCGGGAAGTGTATAAAAAGTTGGAGTTAAATTGTCCCACAAAGGATCAGTGGCCCTTTTCCAGTCTACAAGAAGATTGATGAGGTTGGACTTGGTGCTGATACAAGAACCTTCTGGTTCTATACTATTTTCCGCTTTCTTGCACAACCTCATCTACTTTTCCATCATAAATTTTTTCATTTATTCATCTCCTATTGTTCCATGATCTTCCTTTTCCGCTTTGCTCCCCAAACGTTTCCTGGGTACTCCAACTTCGTCGTTATCAGCTTAGGGGATTGTCTACGACAAAGTGACTTCGAATACCAGGAGAAAACGCATAATTCCTCACTAACTGTTCCGTCATTCCACTGCATTCTGCAAGACCTACAGCGGATAGGATTTAAATGAGTCATAGAGTCGTTTCAAAACATCTATAATCAAATTCTAAGCGATAAATAAGGCAGCATGCGTCTGACAGGAAACTACTAGATATTGGATATTGAGCTTAGGCTGTTGTGTAAACTTGACTTGTGTGTGGTAATTTAACTGAAAGTCTAAAGGCGGCTATATTATGTTTGAACGGTGTACATTGTTCTGTTACCAGGTTGGGCGTTTGGCATGAACAGATTGGTTTTACAAATTGAAAGTATTATGAGGAAATCAGAAAGCTGATTGACTTTTTAAAACATAATCATCTTGCTTGGTGTACTTCCTAGCACTAATTAATGCTAGTAAGTCCTTAAACTGTAGTTTGATCATCGTTCCTGTATGCGCATTGCTCTTTGTTTTCCAGACTATTGCTGAACATTTGACTGAAGACTATTAGCACTTCAAAATGCCAAACACACGGATCGATGCTTACTTCAGAGTCAATAAAACACCTCTCAGTGGCAGAAGAGCTAAACGACTAGTCGTAGAAAGATCACCAGAAACAGAGGTATGCCTAAATACGTAAATGTCAGTTAAGTTTCAGGTTGCTCCCAATGCTAAAAGACCAGCTCACAAACGCTTTGCACATCTTACTGAGCCCGTGGATGAACTGGGTCGTAAAGATCAGGTTAAAGAAGTACCGGATGATGATATCAAGCAAGAAATTCGATCTGTGGGCCAGAATGAGACTCCTCTTATTATTGGTAAGGTAAGAGTAAAGAGCTGTTATGTTTGAGTTACTGTCCGTCGTCAGTCGTGCAATATGGATATAGGCGGTTTCAAGGGTATATCAGAGTAGTTGATTCTTCACCCGGAAGTTACGTACACATTGCCATCATTATGAAGCATGGTTATTGTTGCTTGGTCAGGTCCTTCTAGCTTTCAAGCAAAACTTTCGTTTGTCTATTTCCGAGAGGTTCCTAATGAAATACGTCAGTGTTCGTGGAAGTATTTCTGAGAAGTAGGTAGATCGTAAAATATAGTAAACAAACTAACTGTAGATAAAAGAATGGTATTGGGTTGGTTAAGATAAAATGCACCTCGTTGTTGACAGTTGTAGATTCCCTTTGATCGGTTTATTGATGACCAGTGTATGTCGTTGCGACCATAGAATTTCACATGATTGTGTAACACCCTTCATTTTACTCCGTTGTTCGAGTGGTGTTGCTGCAATACTTGGTTAGTGTGTGGTTAGTGTTAGTCAATACACTACTAGATCTTATGCAGTCGTATAAGAGCCCGCCGAAAATTTTCAGCTGTAACGACAACTACTCGTAAGCCTATAGTCATCATTCCTATTTCTTAAAAGGAGTACTGATGGGTGTAATACTAGTCGAATTCAATTTTATATGTTGAGGACTGTTGGAAACATAGATTGAGGTCATTATAAACGGCTCAGGTGTATTCACTTGCTATCATTCGGCTTCTAAATGTCTTCGCTAATCTGCATCTAGTGATTCTCTTCGTAGTAGTTCCATCACATTTCTTCTTATCTCTGTGCTTCTGAGAAGTGAAACAAAGTAAAATGATGCCTTCTTGCACAAAGTTTTGCATTGATACGCTACCCAGTCCATTCTTCATGCTTGGAACTGGTCTCAGTAGTACAATTCCATTTACACGTTTCTATTCTAGTTATCTCTTTCTTTTTACCTTCAGGTATTTAATAACCTTTATAATCTTTTCAATTCCCCGTCGCATTTTTGTCTTTAATTGTTTGGCAACTTGAATGAATACCCATCGTTATGTCCCACCATTGATTGTTTAATTATGGTTTTCGATAAAGGTATTCACCGTACAATGATTTAACAGCGTCTCTGCACAAGATGTCTTTATTGATTACTACTACGTATATTAATCATTTCCTCTCTTTATTAATCGTATTTTTCTTTCTGTGACCAAATGCCATTTGTGTTATAAGAAAGACGTGTGTACATTCTGAGAAACTTTTCGCTTAAAAGCTGTCACGTTTTTTCTTTGTTATAGACCCCTGTGCAATCTAAACGGCGTGTAGGACAAAGAAAGGTGACAAAGTTGAAGTCTTCTGAAACTCCAATCGTAAAGGTGAAAAACGACTCAAAAGCACCAGCATTTGAACGATTCGCCTACCTGACAGAGCCTGTCTCTTCACGTTCTGAATCACAACCAAAAGAACCAAAGACTGTCGCTGAGACGATTGAGACTGTTGCACCTACAGAAGATCCATGTTTAACGCAGACAGATTTGACAATTCCTGTTGGCCTTGTTCTTCCTCATAACTTACGAATATTGTTAGAACTTTTTCGCAGCTGCGATACTGTTGTCAGCATGCTGCATAACCGGAAAGAACTATGTAGTTTTGATAAAATTCAACCAGCAGTTCAAGAAATAGTACGCAGGTAGATCAATTTTCCCCTGGTGGTGTGATTAATATTGTGCTCTCAAATTATCCAGTAATGCAGGTTTTGTTCTTCGATATTACTATTCTTTTTGCCTCATATCTCTGTTTACTATCTTCCCTTGCTTTATGTGCTATATGGAATGTAGGGACTCGAACTGCCGCACATCGGTGCAAAGTTCTATGTTGAAATAAGTTAGTCAGTCAGCAGGTTTTTTGTAAAGGGTTTCGAATCGTCATTTGGGACGTAATATGTTGTTTTTGCAGTTTAAGTCGTTTCCCAGAAACTTGCATTTCAGTAAATAAAAGATAACCTATGGAAACGCATATCATTCTCAACTTACTTAATTCACATTTGTTTGTGGTTTTTTATTATGTCTTCTATGTTTTCACCGAAATAAGAAACGCTTTTGTATGAAAAATACAGAAATTAGTGGTTCATTAACTGCGAAGTCTTTTTAGTACTGCTTGTTACTTTCAAATGTCAGATCTCTCTATATGCCTACTTTTTACATTTTCAAGTGTTTGTTTGCAGGAATTTGATTGATTGACCACAAACTGACTTCGTTTAGAGAACCACTGAAAACCAGGGAGCTCTGCACAGCTGTTTCACCCTTGTTTGGGACTCTTCAGCGGTACGCACCATGAACCCTCCGGGGATGCAGTTTCAGGACCTTTGTGTTACGGGGCAAGGTGGTCGACCATTCAGTCAGTGGGATGGAATCTAGTAGAGCATCATTTCATTTTGTTTATAAATCTACAATTTGTAACCTGTATATCAAACTCTGCTCAATGACCCTATTTAAGTATTTTAATGGGATGCATGCATTATGTGCCTTAATCATACTTTTTTATTTAACGCTAGTTTAATAGACTTCGTCATTTTTATTATTTTCGCATCCGGAGTCAATTGTAGTGGTTCCAAGCTAAAAGTCGTTTAGTTTCCACTGTCACTTTTTTGACCTTGTGACTTTGCATTATAAAATTATTGTTGGAATGAGCTCTGGGAAAAACATATCCCTTATGCCCATTTGTTATAGTTATCAGATATTAGAAACATTTCTCTCGTAGAATGTCAGCTTTTTGATTGGTGATAATCAGCAGTGTAGTCCAGGATGCACATTTCTTCCTAATTGGAACTCGTCAACTGGATGTATATGCATTACCAGTGAGTGATGGTTTCACACTGAGCCTAAAAGCCTACACCGTCACCCACTGGGAATTCAGGTACGTCCGACTGATGAGTCCCTAATAGAACGAAACGCGCGTGGTAGATTCCACTGCTAGTCATCACCAATCAGAACAACCACGTTGATCGGCAGACGCTGTCGAGGCGTCCGTACTAGGAGCAGACATACAGAGAGACCAGACATTTAAATACAACATAATTAATCAACGGGAAATGCAAAATTAACCTAAAAACAAAGAATGTAGTTTATTTAGAAATAGTAACCTTTTGGGTACAAGAAGTGTTTTGCTTTGAATGGTTGGCCTGTATTAGTTTTGAAGCCTATAGAGATGCCCATTGTCCTTTAGCTTTCTTATTTAGTGTAATGCAGTGATGTCACTCATTTGATTTTCTTACATTATTCATGATGAGGTATAGAAAGTTGTGTTAACAGGGGCGTTAGTTCAAAGTAATGATTATTATTCAACTACATTTCCCTGTCATTGCTTTTGTTCCAGATGATTATAATTTCACCTCGTTTAAATTTATATTTTATATTTCTCCTAGTAATCTTCACAGTTCATAAATGTATATTTTGAAGTAATAGTATTCACTACTTATCAATTAGAGAATATTCTATTCGTTTTGTTTACTGCGTTTAGATAGTGTTGTTAATCATCCACAGTGTGGTTTAAAGTGTAGAACACATGGGTACGTGTAATTACTTCTCGTAATTGTTCTCCTTTTTATGACTACCAACTTATTTAGGAATTTTCAGGAAGAAAATGTTGGCCAATTCCTAACTGTCTATCCAATGGTGTATTTCCTTCGCTATGAGAAACAGTTAGACAAGTTTACACGTCGGCCCACTGGAAATTATGTGCTTGTACTGTCTCCTAATTTGCGTACCGGTTAGTGTTTAAAGCCTTTATTTTCTTTTTATAGAGGTTATTTTTATGTGCAGTGTTTTTCAATTGGTTAGTAGTTGGCTTGGTTCTAGTATGTATAAGTAAGTCAAAAGTATCAGGATGTACGGTGAACGGCTAATATACAAGACGAGGGTTGGCTACCTCCATCCTACTTATATTTATTGTTAGTGTCAAATGATCTGATGTTATATAATCAGTGCATCCCGTAAATAAACAAAAACTAGAATCATCACCTCGTCCTAGAAGTATAAGTTGACATAGGATCGGGTGTGAGGACAAATACTCGCCGAAGACATTGGCTAGGGGTCGCGCTGTCGTGAATTGGCAGAAGTTGGAATTCATGGGCCATTGGATCGGGTCCCAGTGGCCTAGTGGTATAAGAGCTCGCCTTGTAACCAGAAGGTCCTGGGTTCGAACCCCGGTGGGTGCGTACTGATGAAGAGTCCCAAACTAAGACGAGACAGCTGTCCAGTACTCCCAGGTTTTCCAGTGGTTCTCTAACTAATGTCAGCTCATGATGAAATTTTGTAACCAATCACATCCCTACAAAGCAACACTTGACATAGGATTAGGTTGAAAGAGTGTTAGGAATGATCAAATTAAAATTGGACATTAGTCCATGAAGTCTTTGACTGTTGGTTTCACTCATGTAGGGAGTGATGTAGCTCAAAGCCGCTAACTCTTTTCTTCAAATCACTCATATCCATTAAGTCCTCATATTTTTCGTGTTATTATTCATTCTTTTGTTCATCATGGCTCTTTTAAATCTCTTTTCTGTACCTTTGTATGTCAAGTAGAGTTTGGCTTATCGAACTGTAGCACTTCTATGCAGCCGTTCTACCTTGAAATTCAGTCAATATAATGGATATAATTTGCTGTGATATTCAGTCATTCATGATTATCTCAAATAATATTATAGCACTTAAGTATTTCCATTCATTTTCTGAATTGAAAAATACAACACATCAAATTCTTTATTATCCATTCTTGTTAACATAATAAATATAATTAACATAAAGAGGATTTTCTTGCCTAGGATCTTTGTTTTACATAAAAAAAGTTTCTGGTAACAATGTTGTCCAGTAGGAATATCACACTCGTAAGAGAACGTGAAGTAACAGTATACAAAATCGAGTAATTCCTGGAGAAGGTGGCTATACAAATGAGTATATCATATCATGTAAAAAGGATGGTCGTTAGCCTACTTTTTCTTATCTGTAAGCAAATTAACAGTCATCAGATTGCTAATCAAACTTACCCAAAAATGATGTTTTTATTCATCTCAGACCCATTGTTCATTGATAAGGAAAACGACTGATTATTCGTCTTTTTCATGTTACCCAATCTGTGTTTACTGATTTCTGCATACATGTCAAAAGAGGGACAAGTAAAAAGGTTTGAAGGATAGGTGGTTGACTCATTTTATTGAGGACATTCCACGAAACACATCACAATATTGAATGAAATAAGCCATTTCTGAACTGTGATATGTATTTAAGTCTGATCATGAGACTAACTATGAGAATGTCACATTTTATCTAGTTTTTATGTGACTTTCATCCCTGGGACATCATCAGATCATCATAACTTTCTACATGTAGTCTGAAATATGGTACAGTTTTTTTAATCTTTTCTAGATGGAACACAGGCAGGACATGATTCACCATCGAAAGGATTTCTACCATTTAGTGGGACACGATTAATTCAACGTCGAAATCGCTTTCATTCATCGTTGATCAATCTAGTTTTCAAAGCGCATCGGGTAAGTTAGTTTATATTCTGGTGTGGCATAGTCATTTTCAGTAGTGCAGATTAGCTTTCTATAGTTTATAGTTAATTAAGATGGGTTGAATACGACGAAACTTGTGGTGACAGCTGATCACATTCAATTTGAAACGCTTACTGAATTTACCATTCAACAGTGGACCTCTTAGAAATGTTATAGTCAGATGGGAAAAGCTCTAGAATAGGACTTTAGTCATGTACGTCTGTTTTCGCTTTGGCTTCTAGCACCTACTTATTTTACATTTTTAAATATTACTGGAAAGCTTATTTTAAGAAATCTCTTATATCAGAGTTATTTGGATGGTTGCCATATTCATAATCATTTAAGGTTACATTGCTTAAGTCCTAAATCAAATCGATGCTCTAGTTATCTCTGATTTGCAAAAGCGTCAATTATCTAACGGGAAGAAGGTAAATTGAAAAAACTTTGAAAATACTATATGGGCAGTATAAAATCTAAGTCATCATAGTTTCTATCCAGTCCAATACTAATGAGCTTCAGTAAAGTTATGTTCAATAGATTTGAGTGAGTGAATATACACTATCATCCTTATCATTGTGCAGACGTCTTATAATCTAAAGTCACCTGCTTCTATCCGTATTACCATGCATCCTACCTTCTTGGTGTGTTGGGACATGCAAGAACATTCGTCCCAGTCGATATATCTCGTTTGATTAGTGTCATATACATACTGGACCACTGCTACGTATAGGTACCAGCTGTCAGCAGAAGAAAATACTTACATTGTACCTATGTTCATAAATCATTTCAATGTAAAAGTGACGTCAGGCAAGGTATCTAAAAACATCCTGGCGAAATATATATCTATGATGTTAACTGAGGTTTCATTGATGCAGTTAGTATATTTGTTTCTTTTGTGTCAACCGATGTTTTCATTTGTGAGTGATTTCTCATATTAGTTAACTCAGGTGTTTTATTCGCAAGGCCGGGATCTTGACAGTTTGGTTGGAAAAATGTTTTATGCATCTGATAATGGCAAATTTTATGTTGTATATAGTTTGCGTTTTGTGCTATTCTTTTTCTGCTTACTAATTGGTATTTAATTTGATTGTTATTGTGTAAATAATATAGTCGGACTTATTTATACTCTATCATTTTCAGGAATTCCTAATCTCACAGCTTGGAGTTGATCCTTCCCAACTACCAGAAGATTCAGCATTACGTCGATGGCATCCTAAATTCCCTTTAGAATCTGCAGTCACCTGTATTCCGTCTACACCGTTACCAGTTCGACCATCTGAATCTCAACAGAAGATTACAACAGCTAAAGAAGCTGTGAAAGCATTCCAAGCACGTGCCTTGTTTCGCGAAGCTGACGCGTGCAATCAGATATCACTTAATAAACAGCAACAGTTATCGCCTATTCCTAGTCCAAAAAAGTCTGCAGCGTCCTCCCCAATGAAAACACTAAATGCTTCCACTAACAATTCAGTGTCTACAGCAAGTATTCTTGCAAGAATAAAGGATAGTTCTGAAAATTCGAGTAAAGTATTTGTTCCTTCTAACTCAGCTAATCTAAAGGGAATATCTCAGGCGCTTATAAATAAGGTAACTAGGTGTTCTTCTGAAGTTATCTCTTCATTTGTATTGTATTTGTTCGTCTTAAGATTTCAAAGTTTGCTTTTTGCTGAGGTTTCGGTTGCATTTACACTATTTTGTGAGTGATGATAACTTCTTTCATTTAGGAAATCAAAGTAGTGATCTAGCCTGATCATATCTTTTAATACTGCTGAATATCAGAAGGTTTTTGTTTGCTTATTAATCATTCCTTGGTCATATCCACGATTAAATATATATAAGCTCTTATTTTGGTTGATGCGTCGGTGGCACAGCTTTTAGGACGCTCACCGATCGTACACATGGTCCGGGGTTCGATCCCCGGCTGACACAGTCCGTTACCTCGCTAAGCCAGAAATAAAGCCGGTAAAGAGGAAAGGTTGGGTATGAGGCTAGCTATCCCATCCTGTAAAAATAAATACCGCTACAGAAACTTCAAGCCTCTAGCTTGAAGCCCTATGTTCCACTGGGAACGTAAAGGAATAAAAAAAATTTTGGTTGATGGGGACTAGCAGTGGAATCCAGGGCATGCGCTCCTCGTCAAATTTGGAACTAGTCAGCTGGATGCACTTGCCTTCCCATCGGGACCCAAACCTCTCACCCATCGTTCCAAACGCTAAAGCGTTACCCACTAGGTCACTGCTAGTCAATATCAGTCTAAGTGGCGTGATGTTAGTTTCCAGACATCCGTCAAAGCTTCCGCACTTGTAGCCAACATTTTAACAGAGACTGAACATTTTGGAGCAACATAATCAATCAACAGGAAATTCAGATTAACTGAAACAACTGTTGGAACACTTTTTGTGAATAGCCTACAAATGTTCTCCAGGATTCCATTCACATAAGCAGTCACTCATTTAATTGATTAATGTTGCATCTGAGTTTTTTAAACCACACCCTGCTACAGTCATCATTGTAGATTAAAGTAGGTTGCATTTAGATATATATGATGTACCTTGTGTATTAGTGATTAAATTTTATGTTTTATTTGAAGGTTCGCGCTCGTGAAAATGAACGACGTCTCCTAACTGAACTCACTTACGGCAAAGTTCCAGAGGCACGTCGATCTGTATACTGTCGCCTGCCTATGATAATAACTCAAGTTTGGAGTATTTTACGATCTTCCAATTCCCGACCTGTTCCATTGTCGACTGTCGCTGTTCGTGTGGCTGATGCTCATCCTAGTGGACTTTCAGCAGGTAATGTATGATTTATCTTTGCATCTATTAATAGTAGTAGTGTGGCGAAACTCATTTTTTAAATTTATTTTTAATTCAATTTTGATTTCGCCTTGATTTATTGAAGCGAAATGTCCAGTCTCTGTTGACATGTCGGTACCTTGTGTGGATGCTTCGTCGACTGGAAGAAAGGCTGCCTCGTCAAACTGTCAAAGGAGGGGTGACTTATCCCTGGGCAAGAACTGGCGTGGAATCATGCTTTTGCCCACACCAAGTAAAATACTAAGTCGCATCATCCTGGAGAGGATGATTGATGCACTGGATACAGAACTCCGCCAGACCGCCTGAACACGCTGGATTCAGGAAAGGCAAATCATGTGCTGATCAAATTGCAACTCTACGCATCGTCATCACAGAACAAAGCATGGAATGGCAGTCAAACCTCTCCCTTCTTCAACTTCATTGACTTCGAAAAGGCCTTCAACGGGCAGCGTTGACTGAGAAGTAATTTGGAGACTGCTTCAGCATTATGGCGTGCAGTGCCCTAGTCTTTATCAACTTCATTCAACAGCTGGCGATATGACAATTCCTCTTGTCAGGTGATCCACAACGAGGTGTTCAAAGTGAAGTAAGACAGGGCTGTCTATTATCACCGATGATAATCGTAATTGTGGTGGACTGGATTGTGCGTCAGACTGTGCACTGGGAGTGAGGAGTCAGGAGTATGCCGGACCACCGATAAGAAGACTCTAGAGACGATAGAGGTGATGAAGATAGCCAACGAACCACAACAACAACAAAAACAACCAGCACCAGTCACCATCAACGGGAGGAATTTGAAAGAGGTTGCCTCCCTCACTTATCTAGGAAGCATCGTTTCAACTACAGGCAGCCGGAACGGATGAAGATGCCAAAGCTGACCATAATCGGAAAGGCAAGATACACCTTGATCAACCTGAAACCAGTTTGGAAATTGTCTACACTGACTCAGAATAAACAACAAGATTCGCATTTACAACACCAATGTCGAGTTGGTCCTTCTAAACGGGTCAGAAACTTCGCCGGTGTGTCACGAAAAGGATTTCCAACAGGTTTCAGACTTTTATAAACAGCTGCTTACTTCACTGGCTGGCTCCATACTGAAGATTAAACGGCCAGACGGAATGAATTAGTAACAATAAACTCTGGCTGAGAACAAACCAAGTACCAATCACTCAACAAATATGTAGGTGAAAATGGAGATGGATCAGGCATACATTGAGGAGGCTGTCGACGGATATCGCGCACAATGCAGGCCAATGCTCGAGTGGAATCCAAATGGGAAGCGATGAGTGTGTCGTCAGTGTGAGGGTGACATGGAGGAGATCGTGTGAAGAAGAGAGGAGAGAGTTCGGACAATTGTTGGCGCAGCTGAAGAGGATGGCAGGGAATAGAAGAAGGTGGAGATGTGTTGTTTAAGCCCTATGTCCCACTCGGAACTCAAAGTAGTGATAATAATAATTCATCTTACTTGATGATATTAGATGGTTGTAGGTAATTGAACCTAGACACATCACACTAGTTACTAGTGTCCAATCAAATTCATCTAACTACTTACTCGTTTTCATGTCTAGTCCCATTGGCTGAATGGTCAATGGACTTCCCTCGTAACCTGTTCATTTCTTCGATCTCTGAATGCTCGTTAGTGTTCGAAAACTCAACCTGTCTGAACAGTTTCAATTTAGTTGCCTTTCATTGTGATATATATAAGATGGCTAGCTCATTTTTTGTGCATTCTGAGAAATCTAACGTTCCCAGGATATAAGAAGTAATACAGTTGACAGTTTTAACTGGAAAGGAGGGATTTTTAACATATCTCCAGAATTGTCGCGTTTAGTAATCAAAATGTCTTTACTCCTAGACATTATTTTTGATAGGGTTTGGTTGCATCAGGCACTAGTCAACATTTTCCTGGAACTGTTTCAGATATAATTGGTATTTCATAAAGACTGGTTCATAGCTTACTTTTGAATTATTTTTTTTCCCCCTCTGATTTCTGTTGGTAGATGTTATCACTGAGCACTTAAATGTCCTGTTAGAACTAGCACCATGTTGGATTGAGAAATTAAATTGGTCTACTCCTCATCTTCGGTTAAAAGATCCTGGACGATCTGTGAAAGATGTAATTGATTTGATCAAGTCAAAAGTTGCCAAGGAGGGCGTGAACATTTAAAGTTCTTACTATTATTTTTCTTTCTGTACTCAATGTATGTATGTATACTTCTGCATTTATTTATTTCCACAGGATCTCATATTCCTATTATTTTACTTATTTTGGGCACAATGCATTTATGTATTACTTCTTTCGTGTATTGTCTCCTGTGAATGCTATATATTTTTATTATATAATATGACTACAGAATACTGATGTCTTTTGTGGTTCTTGTGAAAGATAGTTTAATGGCAACTACCTGCAACTTGGAAATACTGTTCAGGTGTTCGTCCCAAACTAGGACGAAACACTTATCCAGCAGTCCCAGGTTTTCCAATGGTCCTCTAACTGATGTCAGTTCATGATGAAATCCTGTCTTCATTAGTTCCACAGTACTGTTTACAGTTCTGAATGACATCCAACTAGTTTGTGTTTTCTTTTTAGGTATTGGAAGGTTAACTTAGTTGGGTTGACTTGTGTACGGCCATTCAATTGTTGAATGAGCCCCATCATGTTTACTAGTCAACACTTTTCCGACAAAAGAAACGGCAATCCATTACCGATAGTCAGTAAGAATGGGTTATCGTGATAGGGACTGAAGTCAGTTGTATTTCCGGAAGATAAATTGCGTTTGCCAGCTATCTTGACAACTATTTATATTTAAAACGAGGTGCTCAGCCATTTTAAACTCGCAAGCATGGATTAATATTCATCCAGTAGTGATAAATACTATTGTGTGTCAACGGTCCAGTAGTGGAATGACCGCAAACCACGCACGTGTTTTCGGTTAGATTCCTGGCAAACACATATCACCTCACCTAGTTTACTAGCGGAGGGAAGGTTGGTTGTGAGGTGAGCAACCTTATCCCATAAGAAGACAACACTACTGAAAACTCCAAAGCTAGAAACCCTATGTCCCATTGTCATTGCAGAGGATGAACGCAATTATATGGTGATTGTATGAGGATCGAAATATTCCGTTGAAGTCATACTAGAAATGATCCCTTTTATATCGGTAATTTGTTTTATGAATTCTTTGTAATTTATTTTCTTTTTACATGTGTTGTTCTCTTCGCAATTACTACGTTATTTGCATAACCGTTGTAGGTCGCGTAACACAAAGTAATTGATTAGTTTACATATCGCAATATTTAGTGCATCACTTGGTAAATAAGGCGAAGCTTTGTTGTTTTCATGGACTATTAGCAGACTGTTTAAAGTCAACTGAATAAATTGGAGGATGAAAAAGAAAAAAATTAAAAACACATAAGTCAGCAAAGAAATCTCTTTTCGTAGCTTCACCTCAACACTGCACAATCAGTTAGAGGCTTTTATATACACTGTTAACTGACAACGGAGGTCATTGTCGTCAGTTATGAAAATGAGTATGTATGAGTATTAACCGTGTTTGAAAGGTTAAGAATAACCTTATATAACCAAAAGGGTTAATAACTAATTGGTTAAAGTGATGAATAGTCGTTTGGAAATATCTAATAAGAAACAAGAGAATAAAGGATTGGAAATGGGTTACAAAACACAAAAAATAAAAGGGACTACACAGTTTATTATTATGAGTATTATGGGAAAAAATAGCACTATGACCACCACGGTAAGAAAAGACGCTGGACAAAACTTTTCTGAACACAAAGTTCACGATTCTCCTTAAAGATTGCTTAAGACCTCGGTTGTATGAAGATGTCGACGAAATCCTTTGCGAATGCTTGGTCGTACTTCATGTATGACTCTGAAAGAAGTTTTTGCTGATGCTATGCGACCTTAGTTTTAGTAACTTATACGAGAAAGTTAACGTACAAGTGTTTTACGGTTGTAGAGAGAGAGAGCAACATAAGTGAGGACGGATGTAAGAACTATCCTTGATTGCCCACAAAAAAAAAAACAAATTAAACAGAGATATTCTCTTATATTCTTCACAAAGTCGTCTACTGTCGGATGTGTTTTATATCTTTCACTCATACGGCACGTGGATGAAAATCTTAGTGAGTGTGTCGGAATTAAAACGATCAATGTTTGCGTCTCCTAGTTTATAAGATGGAGCACTGAGCATTAACATGGGTAGCGATCCGGAGTTTTCTCTTAGCTTCGGTTAAGCATATATCAAGTTTAAAGAATACTTCCAAAACATATATACGTAGTGAGAAAGCCAGAGGATGTTATTTTTGTCAGAGAATGAAGGTCACCTGAATAACGGTAGTGCTTAACAGCTAACTGGGCATTCAGTGTGTAAAAAGTAAAAGGCAGGTGTGTATTCACTACTAACGTCGACTGAAACTCAGTTAAGGAACGGGAATTGGTGTCGTGTCCTTGTACAAATAGGATTCGTAATTTTTTTTTTTGGGGGGGGGGGGAGCTAATTCCATTCTAAACGATATTAGCTAGTTATCACGCACGCTAGAACCTCATAATTTTATGAACCTTTATTCACTGATACCTTATGGGTCACAGTAAAACAGGTATCACTTTTATTTTTTTTTCCTTCACGTTCCCCAGTGGAACATAGGGCTTCAAGCAAGCGGTTTGAAGTTTCTGTAGCAGTGCTTATTTTACAGGATGGGGTTGCTAGCCTCATGCCCAACCTTTCCTCTTCACCAACGTTATTTATGGCTTAGCGAGGTAAAGGAGTGTGTCGGCCGGGGATGGAACCCCGAACCATGTGCATGGTCGGCGAGCGTCCTAACCGCTATGCCACCGACGCACACATCACTTTTAATTAATTGCCAAAAACGGAAAGCAATTGAGAGAATACCAGATTCCATCTGAAACCGTCCTGTCTTCGCTGCCAGCCTCCTCAGAGAGTTTGCTGGTTTCCGCCTGCTTGCAGGTCTTCAAGTTTATGTGATATCTATCATCTGCGAAATCCACATCTTTTAGAGTCTTATCGGTGGTCCGGCGTACTCCTGACTACTCGCTCCTAGTGCACAGTCTGACGTACAATCCAGTCTACCACAATAAAGAATATTATCGGTGATAATATACAGCCAGCTTGTTCTGGTGGGGCGGAGTTTTGTATCCAGTGCATTTTTCATTATCTCCAGGATGATGCGAGTTAGTATTTTATTTGACATGGACAAGAGCATGATTCCACACCAGTTCTTGCAGAGGCCTATGTCGCTCTTCTTTGGCATCTTGACAAAGTTGCCTTTCTTCCAGTCGGTGTGTACGTTTCCTTCCTTCCAAACCTTTTTTTAAATAATAGCCTGAGAACATCTGTCGCAGTCCCTGGTGTTTCGTGAAAGAATGGAGCCTAGTCCTGCTTCCTTTCCTGCCGATAGCCAGTATCTTGGTCGCATTAAGATTTCTGCTTTCGTTGGAGGATTGATGTTCACTGGCAGGCAGTTCTGTGCGTGCTGTTGGTGGTTTTGATATTTCTGGACGAGTTGCAGGTGATGGTCGATTCAAGAGTCCTTTGAGGTGATCAGCCCATTGTTTTAGTCGTTTCTCCTCCGCTGTACGCTGAAGTTTCTTTATCAGTTTGATTGGTTTAGTGGTGTGGGGTCGCTAGGCCCACGCCCTACCCTCCTCCTTCGTTACCTGGGCTTGGGAGCGACAAGAAAACTAGGAAGCTAGTTAACTAGGCGATGTTGTATAATATGAAACGTCAAAAATATTCAAAATTCAAAGGCTTAATTAACCTTCTCTTGCTTTTATATTCACTTAAACTCTGATTATACTAAACATTAATACAATGAGATCGACAGAAGATGAGGCAGAAATCATTTTCAAGGGAGAATATATAATGATTGAGTAGAAAACGAAAGACAAAATTACATTAAATCATAAAAATAGTAATAATAAGATTCCGTGGAATGCAAGCAACGGTGACTAATCAAAATTAATAAAAGATAAGAACATCAATGGTCTGATCACAACAAAAAAGAAATTATGTAAAAACAATTTGCATACATATGCATATTATATATCACCAAAATATTAGAAAGTACGAGAATATAAAAATAAAATAAAAGTATGAATCACTAAACGCTGATATATAAAAAAATGAGCAAGAGGAGGAATTTGAAGAGTGAACTCCTGCAAGTTGACTGTTAATGAAGGCAAACGGGAGTGGGAAGGGGAACAGAAAGACTGAAACTTTTCATTAGTAGAAGAATGATAAGCAACAAGTAGGCTGTTATATTAACAGGGTGTACAAAAAAAAGCAAAATTAAATTATGCATCAATGAAGTGTATATAATTAACCAGGTTAAGATACAATATATATATCGTAGTTAACTAAAACTACTACTGCTATCTGAGTATTGAAAAGATTGTGCAGCTCGTTCTATTTGTTCAGCAATTTGATGATAGAAACGTGCTTGATCACTGAGGTAATCTTTAAGTTTTGTTATCCATTCTTCACGTATTTGTTTCATTATTAAATTACATTCAGCTTGAACAGATCGTGTAATGATCAGTGCACCGGAGTGAATACGATTCACATCTGTCTGAGACATTTTTTGTTCATCTATAGCACTATAACGATGTAATTCATCGACTGTAGAACATGCAGCTTTTGCTAAACTAATAATATTTGATGTACTAGGTAGTATACGGGTAAATTCTTTAATGCAATCTTGTAGACTAGTTATTGATTCTGACTAACAATAATAAATTTTCGAAAACAACAAAAAAGAAAAAACAAATAACAAGATTACTTACAACAAACAGACAAAAACGATAGGGAAATGTATTGTTCCCCTATTATAGTGAATTGTCTGCAAGCCTGAATGATACCATTACACTCATGACATATAGTTCGTGACAAGGGTATACGGATCACAAAATGCCTATGCAACTAAGTACATGAATTGAATACAAATAGTAATCGGTACAGTTATCATCATACATTTAGTGTTGAGACTAAGGTGATTAGTACCATAGCTTTATCAATATGAGTGACTTCACACACAGAAGTTGGGTTAAACTGTTGAAAAGTACATTACAGATAAAATTTTGTAAGGCTTCCTAATTTCTCTTGCAATAACAAAAGCCTAATTCAAACCATGAGGTTAAATCGGGTGGTAGAAGACTATTCAGTTTTCAGGTTTTTTTTTGTTTTGCGTGGGTTTTGAAGTGAGGTTGCTGCCAAAACCAATTTTAGATGAAGAGTTATTGAAAACCAACGGATAATAAATATATACACTAACAATGATGTACAGTCTATGATTTCACAAGGAACAGAAAGATTTGCGA